CAAAGAGCCACATCCACTGTTTTAGTGTGGTGAGATGTGTTCCACACTGGGCATGCGTACTCAGCAGCAGAGTAGCACAGCGCAAGGGCAGATGTCTTCACTGTATCTGGTTGTGATCCCCAGGTTGTGCCAGTCAGCTTTCGTATGATATTATTTCTAGCGCCCACTTTTTGCTTGATGTTCAGGCAGTGCTTCTTGTCCCTCCCAGTATCCCTCATCCAGTGCTCACATCCCCAGCACATATAGCCAGTCCCCAAGTTATGAAGGTTTGTTCTTGAATTTGCATGTAAATTGGAACAGTTAGGTTTTTCTTAAATGTAACTCCGGCCATGTATGTGTGTGTATATGTGTGTGTGTGTGTGTGTGAGCATGTACGTTCTGTCGCGCGCTGGGCCTGTAAATAATTGTCTTTAGAACAGGACGTGCAACCTTTGCCCAGCGGGAAGCCAGGGGGCCCAAGGAGAAGTTCTGAGAGGTTTTCCACCACAGATAGTCTTTAGATGGCTTGTGAAGTATAACAAAGTCTTCGATAAAGCTAAACAAATGCTCCCAAGCTTTATGCAACTGGTGGCTTCCTAATCTTGCCCACGAAGGACAGGCAACTGTCTTCAATGACTTCTTCTTTACTTTAAATGGAAAATCCCCTTTTTAACTTCTCCCAGGCTGACTGTGATCTAACCCTTATTGTTGTGGGCTCCGCTACCGGGTCGAACTGCGTCTCAAAGCACCGAGTGGACCTACCAGTAAAGGCTTAGATATTCTCCAGCTGGAGTTCTTTGGTCTTTAGGGCTATTTTCCTGGAAATCTTTGGAGACTCTTAAGACTGTTTTCCCCCGGAAAGTCTTGGATGCTCTTAAGACTGTTCTCCCCGGAAGGTCTTAAGGGTTGAAGCTTTTGTACAGGGGAAGCTTGCACACGTCCTGTACATTAGCTTACCTTGCTGAGACTAACTAAAAATGGCTCCCTTCCCTTCCCAATTGCCCTGAGCAAGGGGTGGGACCAAAACTTAACGATGATGGACGGGTGATTTGCCCTATGACTGCAACCAAAGGAAGCCACCTATCTGCAGAGTCCCTGAAACCCAAACATTTAATACAAAGCAAATAAATTTGGAGCTCCTGGTACAGTCGTACCAGCACAATGTATTTGGATCGCATAGGGATGGGTGCACACCCCTGTGGTCTTTGTTTTGCTTTCTTTGCCCCTGTTCAGAAGATTTCCCCTTACTTTCTGTCCCTGTGATTATTGGACTTTCAAAAATGTGTTTTGTTGTGGAAATAAGGATCGGAGATAGAGCTTAATAATAACTGAATTTCCCTTCCAAGGGGTAGATTTCTCTCACTTCCTATTGTCTCGCCTCTTGTTCTTTTCTTTCGTGTCGGGAGCAACTTGAGAAACTGCAAGTCGCTTCTGGTGTGAGAGAATTGGCCGTCTGCAAGGACGTTGCCCACGGGACACTGCCCGGATGTTTGGATGTTTTACCATCCTTGCGGGAGGCCTCCCTCATGTCCCTGCATGGGGAGCTGGAGCTGACAGAGGGAGCTCATCTGTGCTCTTCCCGGATTTGAACCTACAGCCTGTCGGTCTTCAGTCCTGCTGGCACAAGGGTTAAACCTTGTTCTAAACTATAAGTCATTTATAAGTTGGATGTCTGTAAGTCCGAGACTGCCTGTATTTACTGAAAATTAGTTGCAGTCCATGACCCTCTTTGCCTTTATTTATTTATTATTTAGTATTGTTTGCCTTTATTTATATATTATTTATTTACAGTATTTATATTCCATCCTTCTCACCCCGCAGGGAACTCAGGGCGGATCACAATGCACATATACATGGCAAACATTCAATGCCATAGACACACAACATGTATAGACAGACACACAGAGGCTATTTAACTTTCCAGCTTCATGAGAGTATGCTTTGAATTCTGGCCACCGGGGGAGCTGTTGCTTTACCGTCCACTTGTGACACCGATGGAGAACTTCCTCATTCCTTTGCATGCTGCTGGAGAGTTTTATGGCGTCGTAAACTAGTTAAATTAGCCTCCCAGCATAAGTGGTACCTAAATTTCCTACTTGACAGATGCAGCTGTCTTTTGGGCTGCAAAGGTCGACAGCAAGCTAGTCAAATGGCCGGAAGCTCACTCTAATCCGAGCTGGCAATTTCCTACTTGACAGATGCAACTGTCTTTCGGGATGCAAAGGTCGACAGCAAGCTAGACAAATGGCCAGAAGCTCACTCTAATCCAAGCTGGCAATTTCCTACTTGACAGATGCAACTGTCTTTCGGGCTGCAAAGGTCGACAGCAAGCTAGACAAATGGCCAGAAGCTTACTCTAATCCGAGCTGGCAATTTCCTACTTGACAGATGCAACTGTCTTTCGGAATGCAAAGGTCGGCAGCAAGCTAGACAAATGGCCAGAAGCTCACTCTAATCCAAGCTGGCAATTTCCTACTTGACAGATGCAACTGTCTTTCGGGCTGCAAAGGTCGACAGCAAGCTAGACAAATGGCCAGAAGCTCACTCTAATCCAAGCTGGCAATTTCCTACTTGACAGATGCAACTGTCTTTCGGGCTGCAAAGGTCGACAGCAAGCTAGACAAATGGCCAGAAGCTCACTCTAATCCAAGCTGGCAATTTCCTACTTGACAGATGCAACTGTCTTTCGGGCTGCAAAGGTCGACAGCAAGCTAGACAAATGGCCAGAAGCTCACTCTAATCCAAGCTGGCAATTTCCTACTTGACAGATGCAACTGTCTTTCAGGCTGCAAAGGTCGACAGCAAGCTAGACAAATGGCCGGAAGCTCACACTAATCCGAGCTGGCAATTCCCTACTTGACAGATGCAACTGTCTTTCGGGCTGCAAAGGTCGACAGCAAGCTAGACAAATGGCCGGAAGCTCACTCCAACTCGAGCTGGCTTCAAACTCATGACCTTTCAGTCAGTAGTGATTTAAATGCAACTGACTCCCAGCCATGTGCGCCACAACCCTTTGTGTTTCTCCACCACGTTTTGAGGCGTGGAAGCCAACGGATGTTACTTTGCAGAGCGGTTTTTCTACTGAATGTTTGCTGGATAATGTCCATAATTTATATATAAACACAACTGTGTCAGCTTGCTAGACTTCAATAGACCTTTCTTTCACTTTCCTGTTTGGTGTTTCCACCCACAAGCTCAGGATTTACCGTAATTCGGAGGCTCAAGAGTGATTGTGAGTGCAAAATCAGCAATTTGAGTGACTTTCAGGGTCCGTGTCCGCTGCAGAATTAATGCAGATTGGCACCACTTTAGCCATCATAATGTAGTGCCGTGGAATCTTGGAAATTGTAGTTTTGCAACACTTCTCGAGCAAAGAGCGCCATGGTGCTTCACAAGACTCCCAGGATTCCATAGCACGGAGCCGTGATGTTTTAATGTGGTGTCAAACTGCATATTTATTTATTTATTTATTTATTTATCATGTCATCAGCGACCATACCATTGTATTACAGTTCTAGCAGAGCAAAGCAAACACACAGATTAAAAAGAAAAAGAAAAAAAAAACACACAGAATTTGCAAATTTGGTATTTGGCCACTTGGAGTGCCTCTGGTGTTGCCGCAAGAAGGTCCTCCCTTGTGCGTGTGGCAGGGCTCAGGGTGCATTGCAGCAGGTGGTCAGTGGTTTGCTCTTCTCCGCACTTCGCATGCCGAGGATTCCACCCTGTAGCCCCATTTCTTAAGATTGTCTCTGCATCTCGTGGTGCCAGAGCGCAGTCTGTTCAGCGCCTTCCAAGTCGCCCAGTCTTCTGTGTGCCCAGGGGGGAGTCTCTCATCTGGTATCACCCATGGATTGAGGTGCTGGGTTTGAGCCTGCCACTTTTGGACTCTCGCTTGCTGAGGTGTTCCAGCGAGTGTCTCTGTAGATCTAAGAAAACTATGTCTTGATTTAAGTCGTTGACGTGCTGGCTGATACCCAAACAAGGGATGAGCTGGAGATGTCACTGCCTTGGTCCTTTCACTATTGGTTGCTACTTTCCGGCGATGTCAGGTGGTGCAATACCGGCTAAACAGTGTAATTTCTCCAGTGGTGTAGGGCATAGACATCCTGTGATAATGTGGCATGTCTCATTAAGAGCCACATCCACTGTTTTAACGTGGTGAGATGTGTTCCACACTGGGCATGCATACTCAGCAGCAGAGTAGCACAGCGCAAGGGCAGATGTCTTCACTGTATCTGGTTGTGATCCCCAGGTTGTGCCAGTCAGCTTTCGTATGATATTGTTTCTAGCACCCACTTTTTGCTTGATGTTCAGGCAGTGCTTCTTGTAGGTCAGAGCACGGTCCAGAGTGACTCCCAGGGATTTGGGTGCGCTGCAATGCTCCAGTGGGATTCCTTCCCAGGTAATCCTCAGAGCTCGGGATGCTTGTCTGTTCTTGAGATGAAAGGCACATGTCTGTGTTTTAGATGGATTAGGGATCAGCTGGTTTTCCCTGTAATAGGCAGTAAGAGCACCTAGAGCTTGGGAGAGCTGCTGTTCAACCATCTCAAAGCTCCCTGCTTGAGTGGTAATGGCACGATCATCAGCATAGATGAAACTCTCTGTCCTTTCTGGCAGTGGCTGGTCATTTGTGTAGATGTTGAATATGGGTGGAGCAAGCGGAAGCGACCAGCATGCAAGCAAACTGCATTAATAATACAGTGTAAATGCACTTGCAGGGAACGTTTTAAACCTGGTTATTTAAAGGTTAACATAATATTTTAATATTTTTAGTAGGGAGTGAGGACTGGAGTCCCGTTGGAGGCGTAAGCGCCTCGAGGAAAGGCGGAAAAGAAGTTATTATCATTATTAGTGGATTCATGTGGGTCATTTTGAGCCTTGAATAAATATAATAATGTTGATGGTGGTGGCGATGACAATCTTTGCAGGACTTTGGAAAGAACTGGGCAGCTTCATAATGTCTGTAACGAATTAGCTTTGAGTCTTCCAACTCTTCCCTCTCTCTTCTTTCTCCCTTTTAGAAAGCCTCATGAACACCAAGCTGGAAACGGCGGACCTGCGGTGGACTACGTATCCCCCAGATGGCCAGGTAAGGAGTCATTCCAGAAAGACCCTTTTTGAGTTGTGGGTCTGAAAAGGTCACCTGTGGCTGCTTATAATGTTTTGTGGCAATCCTCTGGCCAAAATTAGTGCCTTGCGTTGGAGCCAGATGGGTATTTTGGTATGCCTGGAGGGAAGTAGATTGGGACTAAATGATCAAGGGTCTGGAGAACAAGCCCTATGAGGAGCGGCTGAAAGAGCTGTGCATGATTGGCCTGCAGAAGAGAAGGCTGAGAAGAGACATGATGAGGGCCATGTATAAATATGTGTGGGGAAGTTCTAGGGAGAAGGGAGCAAACTTGTTGATGGCAGAGTTGATGGCGGAGGACCATCGCTTCAATGCTGGTGGTCTTTGCTTCTTCCAGCACGCTGACCTTTGTCCGCCTTTCTTCCCAAGAGATTTGCAGGATTTTCCGGAGGCAACGCTGATGGAATTGTTCCAGGAGTTACATGTGACGTCTGTGGACAGTCCACGTTTTGCAGGCGTAAGAGCAGGGTTGGGAGGACAGTAGCTTTATAAACAAGCCCCTTGGTATCCCTACGGATGTCCTGGTCCTCAAACACTCTCTGCTTCATTCAGAAAAATACTGCACTCGCAGAGCTCAGGCAGTGTTGTATTTCAGTGTCAATGTTGACGTCTGTAGACAGTCCATGTCTCCCAGGCGTATAGCAGGGTTGAATTTCAGTGAGACATGATGAGGGCCATGTTTGCGGAAGTCCTAGGGAGAAGGGAGCAAACTTGTTGATGGCAGAGTTGATGGCGGAGGACCATCGCTTCAATGCTGGTGATCTTTGCTTCTTCCAGCAAGTGAGATCTGTTGGTTAATCTATCTTTAAGAAAGGAGAGGAATGGAAGGGGTCGATGTCTCCTGTTGGGTAGGAAACGGCACCCGTTCGAACTCGAAACTTGCCGCCTGTCTTCCCAAGAGATTTGTAGGATTTTCCGGAGGCAGCACTGTTGAAATTGTTCCAGGAGTTGCATGTGACATCTGTAGACAGTCCACGTCTCACAGGCATAGAGCAGGGTTGGGAGGACAATAGCTTTATAGACAAGCCCCTTGGTCTCCCTACGGATGTCCTGGTCCTCAAACACTCTCTGCTTCATTTGGAAAAATGCTGCACTCGCAGAGCTTAGGCAGTGTTGTATTTCAGTGTCAATGTTGACGTCTGTAGTCTGTCCACGTTTCGTAGTCATATAGCAGGGTTGGGAGGACAATAGCTTTATAGACAAGCACCTTCGTATCCCTATGGATGTCCCGGTCCTGAAACACTCTCTGCTTCATTCGGAAAAATCTGCACTCCCAGAGCTCAGGCGATGTTGTATGTCAGTGTCAATGTTGACGTCTGTAGACAGTCCATGTTTCGCAGTTGCATGGCAGGGTTAGGAGGACAATAGCTTTATAAACAAGGGCCTTGGTATCCCTACGGTTGTGCTGGTCTTCAAACACTCTCTGCTTCATGTGGAAAAATGCTGCACTTGCAGAGCACGGGTGGTATTGTATTTCAGTGTCAATGTTGACGTCTGTAGACAGTCCACATTTCGCAGTCATATAGCAGGGTTGGGAGGACAATAGCTTTATAGACAAGCACCTTCGTATCCCTATGGATGTCCCGGTCCTGAAACACTCTCTGCTTCATTCGGAAAAATCTGCACTCCCAGAGCTCAGGCGATGTTGTATGTCAGTGTCAATGTTGACGTCTGTAGACAGTCCAGTTGCATGGCAGGTTTGGGAGGAATATAGCTTTATAAACAAGGGCCTTGGTATTCCTACGGATGTCCGGTCTTCAAACACTCTCTGCTTCATTCGGAAAAAAGCTGCACTCGCAGAGCTCAGGCGGTGTTGTATTTCAGTATTAATGTTAATGTCTGTAGACTGTCCACGTTTCGTAGTCATATAGCAGGGTTGGGAGGACAATAGCTGTAGAAACAAGAACATTGGTCTCCCTACGGATGTCCCGGTCCTCAAACACTCTCTGCTTCATGTGGAAAAATGCTGCACTCGCAGAGCTCAGGCGGTGTTGTATTTCACTGTCAATGTTGACGTCTGTAGACAGTCCACATTTCGCAGTTGCATGGCAGGGTTGGGAGGACAATAGCTTTATAAACAAGGGCCTTGGTATCCCTACGGATGTCCTGGTCCTCAAACACTCTCTGCTTCATTTGGAAGAATGCTGCACTCGCAGAGCTCAGGCGGTGTTGTATTTCAGTATTAATGTTAATGTCTGTAGACTGTCCACGTTTCGTAGTCATATAGCAGGGTTGGGAGGACAATAGCTGTAGAAACAAGAACATTGGTCTCCCTACGGATGTCCCGGTCCTCAAACACTCTCTGCTTCATGTGGAAAAATGCTGCACTCGCAGAGCTCAGGCGGTGTTGTATTTCACTGTCAATGTTGACGTCTGTAGACAGTCCACATTTCGCAGTTGCATGGCAGGGTTGGGAGGACAATAGCTTTATAAACAAGGGCCTTGGTATCCCTACGGATGTCCTGGTCCTCAAACACTCTCTGCTTCATTTGGAAAAATGCTGCACTCACAGAGCTCAGGCAGTGTTGTATTTCAGTGTCAATGTTGACGTCTGTAGACAGTCCACGTTTTGCAGGCGTATAGCAGGGTTGGGAGGACAATAAATTTATAGACAATTCCCTTGGTCTCCCTACGGATGTCCCGGTCCTCAAACACTCTCTGCTTCATTCGGAAAAATGCTGTACTCACAGAGCTCAGGCGGTGTTGAATTTCGGTATCGATGTTAACTTTTGCGGAGCGGTGGCTGCCAAGGGAGTGGAAATTGTCCTCATTTTCTAATGTTACACCATGAAGCTGGCATTGGAAAGGGATTGGTTGGTGACTTTTGCTGGCCAAGCTTTTCGTATGCTTCTGCGAAGGTGTTTAGAGTGGCTTGTAGATCTTCTTCTGAATGTGCACAGTCGACGTTGTCATCAGCATACTTGAGTTCTATAAGAGATGTTGTTGTAACCAGCTAAGCGTCTCATATGCTTCTGCGGAGGTGTTTAGAGTGGCTTGTAGGTCTTCTTCTGAATGCGCATAGACAA